CCTCAGAAGTCTCTGGCTTATCTATTAGGAAGCTCAGGCAACAGACAACAAAAAAATCCCATTCATGGCTCTACACAAGAACATCTATTACCTCAAATAACAAGATGTCTAGAAGAAAGGCAGGTTCCTGGGTCCACTGATGCAGCTGTTCAAGGCCATTTTCAATCTCACATGGGCATTTTCTTTAGAGTGGCCTACTTTGTGACGGCAAGGTGACTGCCACAGCCCCAGACGTCACCAACATCAACTCCCCACCAGAGGGCAACTCTCTATGTTCTCTTTTAAGAAGACCCTTCCGCTCACATGGCCTTTGGTAGCTAAGGTTTAGCCAATCCCTGCAGGTCCAACAGCAGCAGTGTAACCAGCCATTCAAGGTGGATGGACGTTGGGCAGCCTGCCCTGACCTCTTGCCTGCATGCTCCCTTTGAGGGTCTCACCCTCACTCCAGTGGCTTCTCAGAATATTCCTTCCGCCATGTACAGTGTCCCCCTTAGACTTGTGCCCTGAACATCTCCCCGGTCCAGGGGAAGCCTGGTCCCTTAGCAGGTGACGCACTTTTTGGCACTGACGGGCTCTGCTCCCCTGACACCCTCAGGCAGCTTGGTGGCAAGGTTCTGGCAGGTGAGGGCACTTCTGCAACCTCCCCCTTGCAGTTGGCTCTCTCCTGCTATTTCCCTCATTCTGTGCCCATCCCCTGCGGTGGGCACTGCGGTCACAAATGCCACAGGCAGTGCCCTGACTCAGTCTGTGTGGGGAGCCACTTCCCCAGCCCCACTTGGCTGAGGTCCCTCCAGCAATGGGACTAATGACTCAGCATGCGCTGGAATGTTCGGTGGCACGATCTCCTGACCTTAGTATTTTTAATTTCTTGAACACGAGGACTGTAAGTTGCTCATCCTAAGCCACATTTTCCTGAGTGCACATTTTTCCAGGCTGCTGAGGCAGACCTGTGACCCTAGTGCTGAGTTCAAGTAGGGCAGACCTAGGGCCCCCTGCATCATGCTAGTTCTCGTCTGTGAAACCCCATTAGCCCCCAAAGACAAGCAGCCTGAGAGGCAGCACCACCGCGGGGCACACACAGCAGACATTACTAATCCATCACAGGCCCTTCCCTCTGAGCTTGGATGGGTGCAAAACTGCTCTTTACTCCAGGGCCCCTGGCAGCCACCAAGAAGTGACGAATGACAAGACCCAGGTTATGACTTCCATTTGCCATCCCTAACAGTGTCCCTCCCAACCCTCAGGCCCTGGGCCCACAGTTGACTTTCAAATCCTCTTCCTTCCCACTGCCTTTTCTCCCTTCTGCAAAGGAACTTTGTGTTCCATTTTCCCTCCTAGTCCTCCTGAAGTCACTGCCTACCAGATTCCCAGCTGTGTGGCCTTGGGGAATACCGTAACCTCTCTGAGCCTCAGTTTCCTCATCTATCAAATGGGCCAGCATTTGATAGCTTCCCTGAGAGGTTGTGAGAATATGTCTGGCATCAGCCACAAGGAGCCACACATTGGTCACCTCCCTTGTAGGGCCTGCTCTGGCTCTGCCAGGCAAATCTGTTGGGGGAAAAAGGACACAATCAGCCAATCCTCGACAGACTTCTTTATTTGAGCCCTTATATCTCCCTCCCAGGCTCACATTTCTCCCCAAACTCAACCCTGGAGGCAGCTGGACTGCATGGTGTGCTTTGGGAGGAGAGGAGCATCCCTTGCCCCCAGGAGACTGGGGGTCACTGTACCTTTAGAATTTGTAAACTTGCACCCACCAGCTGGGCCTAGCCAGGTCTTCCTGAGCCCCAGAGCCTGAGGACAGGAGCCACCATCACCCATACTGTTCAGTACTCAGAGAGGAATGGGGGACCGTACCAAGACTCCAGAGGCACGTGGCCAGGGGACAGCAGGGCTTGCCAGAGAGGGCAAAGGACAGATGAGATCCCTTGTCCAGCACCTTGGCATCTCAGAGTCACCTGTGCCTCTGCAGCTGAGGCCACCCCTCCCTGGGAACTGTGCCACCCAAGCTGAAGTGGCTTTCTTCCTGCCACCCAACAGGAACAAAAGCAGGGCAAACACCAAGATCCACTGCCAGAAAAACAAACAAAAAAGAACATCCTAAATATTTAAAAATAAAATTCACAGCCCCAGACAAGCCCCAGCCCACTGAGCCAGCAGGGAGCTGGGGAGGCCTTGATTGCAGACCCTCCCAATATTTCCCCAGCCCCAGGCCCTTCCTCTTCTGTCGAAGAGTAGGGGCTGAGTCTGTAGGTCACCAAGGAGCAGCCTTCAGGGAATAAAGGTGGAGGTGAGGTGTCCTCAGGGCTCCCTGGTGCAGGGAGCTGAGGACTGTAAACATGACCCAGGTGGAGCCAGGGGTGTCCCGGCCCCAGGGTTCTTCCTGGATGAAGAATGGGCACTGTGGTGAGTGAGAAGGAGAGCCAGTCAGCAGCTGGCCTCCAAGCACAGGAGTCCTGGGAAATCGGGGATACAGGGGCTGGAGGCCAAGCACAGCTCTGCAGCTGCTGTTGCCCACAGGGTCAGTACCTGGCCCTTGCCCGTGTGAGTCAGCAGTGAAGTGCCCCCCCCCCAGGAACCTACTGGAAAGAGCTGCCCAGCCCAGGGCTAGAGGTCAGACAGCCAGCAGAGAGGTCCCACCCAGGCCTGGGGAAAGAGCTGGCTGGGGAGGTGACTGAGGAACGCAGTCAAGGACAGCATGAGGGGGCCCGAAGCTGCTGCCCGCAAGGAACATGGCCTCCAGGAGGTCTGGGACCAGATGAGCTCATCCTAAGGTCTCGCACCTAAAACCTGCACTTGCCGGCGGATGACCCAGGCAGGGCAGCTTCTCTGGCAGGTGCTACAGCAAAAGGTCCAGCCAGGAGCGGCGCTGCGCCCAAGCCCTCCCTCCGCCCGGGAAGGCGCCCTGGGGACAGAGCCACGTGTCCGGCCAAGCCGAGAGGCCAGTTGCCTGCAAGAGCCAACCCCTCAGACCCCTAGGGCAGCCCCTGGACCTGGCTCCTCTTAGCGACAGGACGGGCGGTGGGGCACAGTCTTAAGGTCCCGGGGACAGGCCCGGCGTCTCTAGCTCGGCTGGGACTTGGGTCCGTGACCTCAGGGCCGGGCCCTGCTGCTGAGCCACTGGTTGCGCAGCGCCCTCACCTCCTGCCCGTACCACTCGTGCAGCCGGATGAAGGGGGCCGAGTCCAGGGGACCGTGTGGCGCCGAGGCCC